CCCCCCTCCTAAGTTCAGAATATACCACAAATTAACCAAATATGTCTCAACCCTGTCCCTACCTTTGCTTTTCTTGTCTTTCTGTTATACTTATGCTCCAGCGCCGTAGCCATAATGTACTGTTCGCTGATTGCAAGGCAAAATATTCAAACTCAAGCTTCAGTGACACCCAAATAATCCTTATCAGTATCAGTCTTACTGTATAACAAATGTCATCTCTCTCTTATCAAGCTGTTGAACCAAGAAAAGCCTTTATGGCTTAGACATTTTTAGAAACACCAGAGATAATATTGCACTTTTTCCTCAGATTTTTCCTCTCAGCTCATTCCAGCATGATACAGCATCCATACAGTCTAAGCAATCAAAATGTATCTTCCAAACTTTTCAACAATTTGCTGTACATATGTTATTCTGGTCAAAGTATAATAATTTTTTTCCCTTTTTTGTGAACTGTAAGCTATAAACTGCCAAATATAAAATGTTTTAGCATGACAACCATCCTTCAAATGGCAACAAACAAGTGTCATTGCAGATCATGCCAACTGCCACAGGTGGGTCATTAGGTGACGGGTCACCCCCTATCACTACAGATGGTGTATTATATAAGGAACAATTCACACCACTTTGATCGGTTCAGTGTAGGCCATCTAAGAGATGTACAATATGAAAGCTTTGAAAACCAAAGTGCTGCTTGCTTGACCACATGCTGAAGACTGAATGTGATATAATGTAATCAGCAATGAGCACTGCACATGCTGTGAGAACACATTACATAAGTATTAACTCATATAAAAAAGAGGACATGATCCAACCACGTGAATGGGCCCAAAGGCACGCTTTTTATTATGAAGCTGAAAATGGCGTGATGTGATATGCTGGCATCACACTACATCACAAAGTAAGGCGTCCTCTGCCATTGAGCAGCTAACTCTCTTATCAACAATCTCTTCCAAAATTAGATACAATTTTCAAAAATTGTCAATAAAGTCCTGTCATAATGATATCTGAAGAGAATCTCCTACAGTAGCAAGTTCTTTTGTATGGGAGAAAATACCTTATCTTAACAGGAGGCTGGTGTTGACACAAAGGTAATTTAAAGCTGGCAACTTCAGGCAGCTGGGTAACAGTGGAATTCAATAAATGTGGTGAAATTAACAATTAATGACCCTACTACCACTGATTTGGAATCGGTTCCTCATAGTTTCATTGAAGTACTGAGGAAACCAACTTAAAGATGGTTAATTATATTTTTTGAATAATTAACCTAATTCAACTTTTTTATGTTCATTTTTTAAAATGCCAAGCCTAGGGTTTAAGTGAATAAGTTGTATTTTACTTGTTAATCTAATACTGTACACGCAGCATAGATAACAGTTTGTGGCTCAGTTGAAAAACTTAAATTGAAGTTGAATGCACTGAACAAGTTAGTGCTAATAATTAATTAAGAACCAACAGCAATATTGTCAATTTCAGTTCTGTACTCTAAACTGTAAAGACAATCACTGGATTGCAGTTCAATATTCGAAGTAGAACTCGGTATTTTATAGCTGTGGTAGATGTGTCAACTAATATGAATCTACTGCTGCAATAAAAATCCCAGAGAAGCTGAAAATATGTACTAGTATGTACAACAAATGCATTGTAAAAGATGGAGCTAGAGGTTTCAGACTGGATAGATGACTAGTAGTCCAGGCCCGTAGCCAGGAATTTCAAAAGGGGGGTTCTTTTTCTGAAAAAAGTGGACCTTTTTCCATAAAAACTCCATGTACCTAGATCAAATTTTACCCAGAGTGGACCTTTTCCTAGCAAAAAGGGCCGTTCTTTCGAGCCCCCTGAACCCCCCTGGCTACGGGCCTTAGTACATACTGCATACAGGCATGCACATTAACAATACAACATGAACTACACTAAAATACATAAACATATCAGAGCAAGGCAAACAATACAATTTAGAAGTAAAACTAAAAGAAGTACCTGCTGCTGTGAAGGGACAAGGGTGTGTAGAAATCCATGATATCTCAAGCTTGGTTAACAGGTGTAATGGTTTAAAAAAGCCACTATCATATTACTTTGTTGATTTTATTAGCACAGTGGAAGTACTAGTACAAAGCTCTTAGTAGTGCATGCCCTTTGGAAATACTTAACTTTAAAGTAAATGGATATCTTTGAGGAGGACAAGATTCATTCTCCTTAAAATGTATGGATTTGATGTCCCCATAAAATGTCAGTTTACTCTAAGGTCAAATAACTGGGTTTGAATACATAATACATCATGTTATAAATATATAGTGTTGCAGCTCTTCAATTTTTGAAATCTATAAAATACTTCCTCGACTGTCTCTGCCTGTGACAAAGTGCATGCAAGTCAAATAAGAAACATCCCTTTAATCTTTTTATGTTTTTAAATTAGCCATAAAAAGAAGTTCTAGAAACACAGGCTTGCCATCAATCCTGTAAAACCAAGTAACCATTAACAGAAGTAGGATCATATTACTGGCCATTCCATATACCCTCCAAAATATCTGCTTATCTTTGTAATTTTTCCCACTGAAATATTGCAACATTTTGAACAAAAGTAGTCCTAAAGAATCAAGGCATGGTGCAACTGCACCTTTTTTTTTTCCATGGGATAAGAAGATGTGAAAATCAAAAAGGAAGAAAAGATATCACTAAGGAGAAGGGAAAAGTGGAACAGCCCCTTCAATTATAATCTTTTCTCAGCCCTGTGGTGTATACAAGTTGTGTATGCCATGGTAACGCCTGGGTAAGACCTATTCAAGTGATAAAAGTCCATTTTTCTGTTTTGATCAACAGAAGAAAGAATCACCACAACAACGCCTAATTTGAAGCTGTTAAAGTGTACATGGGAAGAAATTATACTGACCCTAACTATACACATATTAGCATGTCAAAGTGAAATAGAAAAATGCAGAATGACTCTTGTCAAACATAACTTTTACCATACTACTCTAAATCACACAGGACCAGTAATATGTGTTAACAGTGGTTTTGTCAAACAAATTAATGCATAAATTAATACAGTCAACTTGGTCCTTGGTTAGACACAATGTAAACCCAACTTCTAGATGAGAAGTAGCCACTTTGTTGTGTGTATACATGGAACTATTGGTTTTAAAAACAGCTGTTTTGTTCTTATTTGCTCAGGATATTCAGGCTAGACACAGTTGTAGATGGCCTCAGTGTCTAGAAGGACCATGCTGATTTTGGTAGCTTAGAAAAAGGTCTACTCCTTTTCTATAATAATGGCTTCTTGATTACTAAAACACATTTACAGATAGTAGTCCCACGTAGTCCCTCCTGTTGCCCATAACCTTAGAAGGTTTACACGTGTGGGGAGGGGGGGGGGGGAGAGAGAAAATGGTACATAACTGACATGTATTCTTTGAAAGGCAGGTGTGGCCTTTTTTTTCAAAAGAAAATTCTTTAAGTAGTGCTTGCACTGTTGTATTATATTACATCTACATTAAATTGATTAGTTCTGACTCTTAATGTTGATAACAATTAATACATAGTTTCACAATCATTAAAAGGGACAGCATAAACCTCGCTTAAAAGAGCATGTATGATAATTATGATCATTATTCACAATTTTCCTGGAGCTGTTACTAGTAACTAAGCAATACTGTATGAAATATAATAAAGTCATTTGACTGCACACAGCTTATGCTCAAGATTGTTTACTCCAAATATCCAATATTTGCCTCAGCGTGTACATGCAGCCTAATGTTTTATGCAACCCATGAATTTAGCTCTTTTAAATTATACATCCAGTGCTATACAATAGTATGGCCAATACAGATTAACAATATAAATTTTTTATGTTTTAGGTTCATCATGGCATGCCATATAACAGTATCTTCAGCTGTTTAACAGAGATGTTGTTGTAGTCAGGTTATTTGCCCAGATATCAGCCCCCTCCTGTGGTTATCAATTTCAACAAATATAAATCCAAATTTCAATTAATGTGAAACCGACTGTAACAAATCAGTGGTCAACAATTTTCAACAGCACCTTAAGATAAACAGCACACTTGTTTGACAAAGGCTAGGTTGCTTTTCAATGAAATAATATAGGTTTATCTAACTCATACATACTTTCAATTGTATTGTAATTTCATCCATCACAAGGTTCATTGGTTGCTTAAAGCAGGCAGGAAAATACTTGCACTGACTATAATAGAAGTGAGTGTGATGGAGGTTGGATTGCTTAAAGAAAGAGGGCAAAGTATTCACCTTCTCCAATAAAAGTTTCAAGTTTCCACTCGATTTTAACATACTAGTAAGTAATAATATAGAGAATTTGCACCATTGAATACCTAATAACCCATACATTTATAATACTTGCATTATGTGGTAAATTACTTGCATCTAAGTGTGAACCTAAAATGGAAAAAGGTCACTTGGCAGTTGAGAAGGTTTTCACATAAACTGTAACATAACTATTTTTAATAACTGACTTATATGAAATGCTGACTTAAGATAGACTTTTGCAAAATATTCCCTCTATGTCTTGTCAATGCTATTTGTGATATGAATTTTAAATACTAGTCATCCAACAAATTCCTCTTATATATTATCTGAAATATCTTTCACACAAAAAAATGTGTTCTGTAAAGAGAAAACTATTAAAAAACAAAAATATACCTGAAGATTTCTTAAATTACAGCATAAGGTACTGTATTCGTCATTAAATAAAATATTAAGCATCAATCCATTTAACTTACAAACTGTTTAACACATTCCCATTAAATTTCATTTAAATTTGAAAACATTTTTCTGTTGTAAAATGAATGAGCACCATTTAAGCAAAGTTCAAAACTTCCAGTAACATGACGCTGTAAGGTCAAACTATATGCTAATTAATGCTATTAGGCATTTACAAAAGGCTGCTTGTTTTTGACAGGTGAAACTTTGCTGTTATGTCAATGACAAACTAACCTATTGATCAGACTGGCTCTAATCCTATAAGATTGATTAATCTCCTTCTACTAACGTTTTACAAAGGTTGATCATCAACGTAGCAGAAAACAGAGCAACACTTGAGGATTTGCTGTAACTGCTGCTGGGATTTCTAACAATCTACTAGTAATGCAAATATGGAAGCAAAGGTAGTGGAACAAGTTACAGCTTAATTTCTGCTGTGGTCTGTCATGTTAAGAGCACAGCTGATGCATGTTCTTTTTAATAAAACTAATCAATCACCACTTTAAACAAGACCTGCTGTTCCTGGTTCACATATAAACATATGCAATTTAAATTAACAAAACCATAAATTATAGTTTTCTGAGATGTGGTTTTCTTCTCTAGTTGTGTATATGAACTGTTTTGCAACACCTTTAATATTCCAAGTCTGAGGATTTTGGTTTGTGTGTCTGTGTGTGTGTGTGCATGCATGCGTGTGAGCACATGCATGCATTAGCGAATATGCATCTATAGTGTTTGTGTTTGCACACATAATCATGAATGTATTTGTTAGAACATGAGAAGAACTGTTTCTTCCTTTCTAACAAGTACATTTCAGTAAAAAAAAAAAAAAAAACTAGAATTACTATGAACTTACCACATCTCCCTCTCCATAGCCACCTTTCACACCCGAATGTTTCCCAGATATGGGTGTAGAAGTGAAAGGCAACTTCTTAGCAGTTAAGTCCTCTGTACTGTCCCCACTGAAAGTCCTGTCCATTTTGAAACTATCCATCTTAAAAGTTCCTTGCAAACTCCCGTTTTGATTCCTGAATAATTTTTTGTACCTCTTGTTCATGTTCCCTTTTAAGTCTCCTGATCTCCAAAGTCTTTTCTTTATCAGATTTTGACTTTTCAGAAAGCTTCTCCTGTATTTGTTTCTTGGAATCTTTCAGCATTTGGACTTCTTGTTGAAGTTTAAGGACAGCATCTGTGTTTCCAGTCAAGTCACTGTGAGAGCCTTGAGATTTTTTCCTGAGATCAGAAGATCCATATGCAGCATCCTCTTTCTCTCGATCTAACTGGCGTTTCAATACTTTCAATTCTTCTTCTTTATACCTGAGGACTTGCTTTAATTCCAGGTCTTTTTCTCTTGCAACACTATCTTTTGTTTTCTGTATCTCTGCTTGTTTCTCTGCCTGGAACTTGATATTAGCCATTTCTAGTTCATGAGATTTCTCTCTCTCCATCATTTCTTTGGCATGTTTGATTTCAGAAACTTTCTCCCTCTCTTTTTGTTTGGACCTTGCTTTCTCTAACTCCAGCTCTGACTTGAGCTTGGCAATGTGCCGTCTCATCTCATCTGTCGTCCTTTGGGAAGAATCTAGTTTGTTTGAGGGTAGCCTCCGTCCCCCAATGGAACCATTTGAGCTCTCCATGATTTCCAAACCTATGTCTCTGTACACCAGCAAATCTTCACTAACCAGCTCTCATGGCTGCACTAGACACCAAAGTTGCACCTGAAAATCCAGAACAGAATCAAAGTGATAAAAGATAATGTTTGATGGTTGATAGGTCATATTCCTAAGCTTGTGTCAATAAAATAAAAATGTAAATACAAAGCACAATTTTTGTTGGAGCACTAGGACAGATAAGAAAACTACATTGCTGTCTGTGTAAAAGATTAAGAAAACAAACCCAGCTTACAAATACAAGTTTCGTGGGCTTTTAGATTTCAGTGTTTTATGCCTTCACAGTATAATTTCCATTACCATAATGGCAACTAATGACAAAAAATTAAATTATTGTTTATAAATCACTGCATCTGATATACTGGTTTTGACCCTTTTACCTTCTTTTAAAATGACATTGTACTGCCACCTTTAAGAATAAATGGAAGAGAACATAATTCCTACCCATAAATTTTCAAGTAAAAGTTTGTTATTCATGACTCTCATTTAAAAATCCACCTGAATTCTGTCAATTTTAAAGAAAATGTGGACCATGCATCAATGATAAGTTTTATACAAAGTTATGTGGGTAAAAACTTGGTCCTCATAAAACTTCTAAATCAACTTATGTTCTGATCAAATATATTTGCACTTAACAAACCTGTAACTAGTCATTGATTGCAGGGTCATATCCATACAATTTGCTTTCACTTGAATGGGCATTTTTTATTGTTTGGATTGGTTTTCCCATAATCATTAGTATACTATTATAAATTTAAACAAAATAAGATATCTAGATTGAGTGCTATTTCTTAAATCATTTTATCATATTCAGAGAAAATTTGAATCTTTGGAATTTTCATTAACTGCACAAAAGTTGCTTTGTTTCTTCATAAATGTCTCTAATCAAAGATATATCACTGCTTGTTATATAAGCATTTACGCATAATAAAGGTAAATTTACTGTCGGTTACCACAGATAACTCAAAATGACCTTAACAATCATCAAAGCTATCTATGTGGGTTGTTAACAAAAAAGTATTCACATATTTATCAATACTGTTACTACATACCACACTTGAATGTAATATGTAAGAAATAAGGGCAAACATTTATTCTTCAGTAAAATGGTGCACCCTTATAAAATGTTCTGAATGTTTACATTTTTATTAAGATAATACTGCCAAATATTTTCTTTCAATGCTAGCACCCTCATAAAAAGTTGTTCAAGCTGTTTTGCAAATTAGATAATACGTACATGTACCATCAAATATCTTCTTGTTATTGCAAAATACACAATTACAATACACAATTTTAATTCCGAGAGTCTGTGTTAGCAAATATCTTAAGGCTATACTTAACCAAATCCTCCCTAAAAACTAAAATATTTTAAGATTTCGGAGTCGATGCTTTGTCAGTTTACAACTAACTTTCCCCTAACTCATTATCTCCAATGAGACATCATGATATGTCCCCATTATCTTGACCACAGTTCTTATTCATTGCAAAAAGCTATGACATCAGACAAATGTCTATACCGTACTGTATGTACCCTTCTTCAGATTGCATTAAAATTTTTCTACCAATTAATAGCTCTTGAGTCTTGTGATAAATATTCATTTCATCCACTTAGTGGACCTGATGATTTAAGTTTCGTTCAACTCTAGACTTTAAAGAAGCTACCAAAGAAGAGGAGCCACAAATTATAATGATTCCATTTCCAACATATTTAAAATGTAACTTGACCAATACCAGCAATACTGTCAGTGTCACAGACTACTTTTACTATAGAAGCGGCCATGTTGCGAGTCGGGTTGTTGTCAAACATGTCCTGCAACTTTCTAAGTGGTCAAAACAAATAAGACTTAATATCACAAAACAACATAAGGCAAACGGATATAACAAGCTTAAGATTATCTGACATACCCATAACGTACCTTTGGCCTTCATATCAGGTAAATAGCACGCAAAACATAGGGATACCCGCCACTTACTTGAACTACATTGTGTACAGGTTCCCAATCACGTGACCTTGTGGGGCATTTTACTGTAGGGGGCAGGTTGCCCATAACAGACACGACAGACAAAGGTAAGGGAGGATTAATTACGTTCTATAAAAGGTGTGAAAATGACCGATTCTTACTCTAACTATGAAAAATAATATTCTTTGTTAATTCTTACAAAATTAAGTTGGATCTGCCTTGTGGTAAATAGAGTGTGATTGTGGTTAAGTGAGGCCTACATCGAAATGCATTAGATGTGCAGAAAGCATAGTGCGTCGCACTTATAGCAGTACTTTAAATGTTCTTAACTTCTAAAGCTAGGTTGACACTTCTGATATAATATTTGGATCACGAGTGGATAAATAGTTTATTTAATGCTTAATTTACTGTCGGTAGGGTGTATTAGGGTGTATTTTCCCTGTATTTTTTATATTCAGTGAAAAGCAAACTCAAAAACAATTTTAAACTGCTCATACAGAAGATTTTTCACAACTTGTAGGAGATAAATCAAAGAACAAAACCAGTAAAACGTTTCACAGCTGGACACTTTGCATTTGTAATAGTAACGTATGTTCCTTTTTGTTGGCTAAGAAATGAAAATATATTTTTCATTATTCGTAGTTCCAGGAGAAAATTTTTATGCCAAACTGCACGAGCTTTTTTAATGGACATCTATATAATTGCTTGGTTGCAAGTCATCTTTACGGTGTTGCAGACATCCAGCTTGTTTTGGTGAATCCTGCGTGATTGTAGTTTTAATGCTGCATTAGTATGGATAAAAGGTTTTCTCAAGTTAAAAGCCTATAGGAGTCACCCGGTAAATGAGTTCATCCACCCAAGAAATTTACATGTTAGCCTGCTACTAACTACATGTAATCTATATGTATTATTTTGATATCTAAAATGCCGTTTAACTGATTTGATTAGCATATTAAACGCAATTTTGCCAGCAAAATAGCAGCAAATTCGATTCACAGCACACAAAAACACCACGCTTTTATGATTGGCTAATATGGAGGTGTGTCCTGTCGCGTGATCCAATCACGTCACGGTAAAATCTGGGTCAAGGCATATGCGACGTCAACATGGTAGGTTTCAAGTTTGGCTCCTGAATTTCGCATTGTTTTACTATTTTAACTAAATCTGTTTTCCATCATGATATTGAAATGTAATTTTGTGTATTTCAGACTACCTACACTGACAAAGGACCGAAGGTAAGCAACCGTTTTGAGTGATAAAATGATACATGTAGCTGTTCTTATTTGGTGACCTCTGCCGCCATTGCCATTGCCAATATGGGATTGGCACACTGCCATTTTATTCTATTAATGCGTCTTTGGCAGATCTAATGAAATATAAATAAAGGAGATATGGTTATAAAGTGTTGAATATAGAAGCACACCATCAAGATTTATCAGTGTGTTGTGAGTCCTTTGTAACACAAAAACAAAAAAGTTACAAACAAAATTAGTTTCCACTATGTAAATTGTAATGCTGAAGTACTAGTACATGTACTAGTAGCTCAAAAATTATGGATCATGTTCTGGCACGGTTTTATTTTCTACATCAGAGTTCACGTTGGGACAGATTCCCTCAGGCACTCCCTTGATTCTTGCATGTCATCTTAGAACAACATAGCACTGCATAACATTGCCGAAGTCTGTACTGTCCTAGAAACTATGCTGGTTTAAATAACATGACAAAAATATAGCCAGTAGCCAGTAAATATGAGTTACCTGTACTTATGCAGCATTGGATGCAGTAAGACTGCTTAGGGGATAAAAATGGATTTCTCTCTGCCTTCCTCTAACAGCTCATTTTACTGGCCTTTTAAGCCTTACAATTTGAGAAAATATATTTTTTGAAATTTCTAATTATATCAGTTAATTTCAGTTTATACCTGTATAAACTACAATGTGTATTGCTAACTATGAAAAATTTTGACCTAAATGAAATTGTCACTGTAGATTTAAGTACACTTTTTTTTTGGCTTGTTGCTGTACCTACTGTAGTTTACAAAAAGGAGGTCTTCATTTTTAGTTCTTTGTACAGTATATATGGGAACCAAGTAAATTGGTTTCCTCAGGTAATCATACCATTTAGTCATACAGGGGGTATATGTAGCACTTTCAATACTGCATCAGCCCTAGGCCTTCAAAGTTAAAAATAAGGAGATATATTCATGGCTTGATATGTTGTTATAGGAAATTCTTTTATTTTCCAGCCTGATGCAGGCCAGTTCAAGAGCTTTGATCATGTAACATTTTGGGTTGGAAATGCCAAACAGGTAAATGTGTATCAATTTTATTTTTCCCAGTGTCATATTTTTTTAATTGAATATTTAATTGATTTAATAAAATGACAAAATAGCATTTTGATTTACATAATCATAGATTTTCCTTAAAGTTTGCAAAAACAGTAAAACAAAGATATTTGGTGTTTTGTATTTGCACTGTATTATTTTTCCTAAAAATCCATTGTATATTATGTACTAAATACAATCTCTTGGGTTAAAAAAATTTAGGCAGCCACTTTTTACTGTGTTCGCATGGGCTTTGAGCCATTTGCCTACAAGGGGTTGGAGACGGGAAGCAGACAGGTGGTGTCCCATGTAGTCAAGCAGAACAAGGTAAGTTTTCTTTGTTATATCTGTGAGACAAACTAAATAATAACCTCTACAATAAATGAATGAAAATGTAAATGAGGGTAAAGATAATAATGATAATTCACAAAATAAAAATTGAAAATTTAAGTGGACAGTTGTTTAAGTTAGTGCTAAAGATTTGACATTAAGCTATTAGTGATGCAAAACGAGGTAGAGACGTGCATGTTGTGACAGCATCTTTCATCTTAATTAGGCAGGTGTTTTTAAATTACTTGTTTCTTAAACATTTTTATTTCATCAGAGGGTGGGGGGAGGGGATAAAAAAGAAGTCCAAAATAATATATATTTATCACTTTTAAGTCAGTGTTAAATCCAAGATGAACTTTCTAAAACCAAATCTCAAAATGATAAAAACAGTGATTCTTATTATTAAATGAAGTGTTTTATTTGTCAAGAATACATGACATTCTTCATGCAAACAAATCAAACCAAAAAATATTTCTGAAAAAACAGTATGACCTATATTCGAATATTGATTTTATTAATTAAAGTGGTTTCTTTCATGCAAATTTCACCTGAGCATTGAATCTGAGCAAATCACAATGACATTTTATTTTACAAACAGCAACTCAGCTTTTCTTAAAATAGAAACGATTTGTTTTTTAAAAAACAATTATAATAGTGAGTTTACATTTTAAAACTCTGTAGTTCACATTAACAGTATTATTTTAACCAGATGACAGTTAGAAGTTATTGCCAGGCTTATATTAATAAGAAATTCACCATGCAACAGTAACTTTCTGACTGAAGACAGGATGCTTTTATGCAGTCAGGTCCCAACTTGTGCTGCTGTTGCAACTGGTGCTTTTTTGAAACCAGCCACTTGAGTAAAAAAGTTACAGTACCTAAAATGTTCCTCACATTGACCAGACTGACCTTTTACATATTATCGTTTATCCATCAGACAGTTAAAAATTCTTGTATTGTCTGTACATAGACCACTGCATGATTTTCTCCTGCTTGTTGCCTTCCATTTCACTTTTACATGTTAAAATATCAACAAAGTGATGATTGGTTTTAAGTGAATTTCATTTTGTTTTCATGTTTATTATATTCCCATCTGACCATATGGATCTCTTGGATTTGGCCTTTGACCTTTATTTCAAGGTCAAACAGGCCAAAATTATCTATAAATGGGAATTTTTTGCAAAAAATTTTTATTTCTGCCGATTTTCAGAAACTACACAGATCTAACCTTTAATATCATGGGCAGGTGTTACCCTTAGGGTTATCTTTAATCCTCGTGAGTTTGGGTCAGTCTGTGCACTTTCACGGGAATAGCGGCCATTAGATGCCCAAACTGAAAGAGCTTGTCAAGTGCAACACTGAAGGTGGTGTCCGTTTTTTGTTTTCGATACACCTTCGGTGTTGCACTATATCAAAAAGTTTAACATCCGATATTTAGTGGTGAAAATAAAAGATGAAATACTCAAAATTAGTAGAGATACGCCTAAAGTTACTATTGAACTTGCATAGGAAGTAATACACTGGTAATCTAACTGTAACCATGAAATTGGCCTTTGCCCTACTTTTCATGATGAACTGCACTTTACAAATTTTTTCTTCCTTATAACTCGAAAACTGGCAAACTTAAATAGGAAGTCATATACTGGCAATCTAACTGTGGCCTTGAAATTGACCTTTGACCTACTTTTTATAATGAACTGTACTTTGCATGTGTTCTGGCCTTTATATTTATGTTTTATTTGCACAATTTTGGCAACATTCAGCTTGACATGTAACTACCAAACCATATCTTTGTTTAACTTCAAATTTGCTGAGTCACTTTGTTTGATAAGGAGACGGCTTTCTTTCGGAAATGGCATGATTGAATTACTTTAATGGTAATTTATTAAAATTTTTCTTGCATGTATTTTGTTGATGTTTCTTCCTTTTTGGTATCTGTATATTTGCCTGCTTTGCTGTATAGTTTTAATATTTTGGCCATTTTGAGGTCAGTGGAGTTTGAGAAACAATTAAAAAAACATCTGCCTAATATTCCATTTTGTTGTTGATTAATTTAGTTCAAGAAGGGCAGTTTACAGTTAGCAGGGAAATAGGTACAGCTCTTATCTTGACATCTTCTCAAATCTTACCTTGAACAGCAAAAATACTATTATGATGTCGTGACTAGCATTAAGATCTTATCATGTCAATATTATACATAAACAAAAACAGACTTGATGTGGCTGAAGAGGTGAATTGGTTCTTTGTGTAATGAAGTTTTACATATAAAATTATGTCCTGAACTTATTTTAATTTAGTAAAGCTTAAATTAAGCTTTGGTTCGAAAAATGATTTTATGTCTTAAACTTATTTAACAAAAGAACAAAATTTAACTAAATTTAAGAAGGTATTTCATCCTTCTGTGGATTATTGTTTGTATATTTAGTTCAAAAGCTGCAATGTTTAAAATAATATTTTGACAAATTGCTAGGTGATCACATCAAGTACTTTTCAAGGATGAAAAAGGTTGAATACAAACACTTTTCAAGGCTAATAGCAATTTCAAGTATTTTTCTATGCCACAAACAGAATTCAAGGTGCAGAGCTAAATTCAAGCACTTCTCAAGGCTGTGTGAACCCCTGTAATAGCTTTAAACAGTGAACACTTGCACCCCATTTCCATAGATTTTTAGATTGATCTATCCCTGTGGGGAGTCTCACTAGATTACTGTCAGCTTGGCCGGCTTAAGCCTCTGTCCCGCCTACTATAAGCTGTTAGGGGGTAATTAACTATGGTGCCCGCTCGGCTAACTGCAATTTAGCGTGAACCCCCAGTTAGTTAGGTCGATCTAAATCTTGATCTCTAGATTGATCTAAATCTCTGGGAAAGCACCCTTGGTGGCTGCATGATGTGAAGTCCCCATCCTTGCAACTTTCTCTCCTTACTCACTCATAACTTGATAAAATGGCAATTTTATAAATATCCATCTTAATACACTTTTGTCAAGCTTTTAACAATTTCATTTTATATACAAAAATTTTCAATTGCTTTAAATTAGATTATTAATTACACAATCAGACCATGGAAATATAACTGGGTTATAGTTACATAACAAGGCTGCTAGGATTCTTGAGTGACATCAAGTCTGTTTATGTTTTATACACACACACACACACACACACACACACACACACACACACACACACCAGTATTGATATAATAAGTTCCTTATATTGTCCATGACAATGAACTTATAAAGCAGAAGTGATGTGAAAATATTTTTCAGACCAGTGTTGATGACAGGAATATTTAACCAGAGCATTTTTAAATAAATATGAAGTTACTGTTTTAATTTTCCTTTTTTTTTCACAAAACATTACAGATAGTATTTGTCTTGCAATCTCCACTGAACCCCTATAGTCCTGAAGATATGTGTGAACACTTGGTTAAACATGGAGATGGTGTGAAGGATATTGCCTTTGAGGTGGAAGATTTGGATGCCATTATGAAGGTACCAAATGTCAACAGTAAATGACTTTCTGACTGTGGTGTGCATGAAAGATGTTTGATAAGACTGATATTTGTGTGTTCAGTCCTACACATGGGTGTTTTCAAGGCACTAGTATTGTATGCACCAAAACAAATGAAATTTATTTATAATTTTAGGACTAAATTTTGCCCCTTACTTTGCTAACTACTAGAATTAGTGCTTCTTAATAGTGCACTGAATTATATCATTTCGAAATTCTGGATTAATTTTTTTCAAATGTAGAAAGCAGTGGAACGTGGTGCTACAGTTGTCAGGGATATTTGGGAGGAGAAAGATGAAGACGGGACTGTAAGATATGCCATGATTCAAACTTATGGTGATACCACCCATACATTTGTGGACAAGAGCAAGTATAAAGGGAAGTTCCTCCCAGGGTATAAGGACCACCCAGCAAAGGACCCTCTGTCAGCTATCTTGTAAGGCGTTTTTTGAAAAGTTTTTTTTTTTTTTTTGTAACAAATACTTAAATTTAGTTTTATAAGTCTTGGTAGATATATGGATGTTTTGAAAGGTTTTTGCTCAGTTATAAACTATTTATAATTTCAGAACTTTCATTTTCATTTTCTTTTAGACCACCAGCTGGGCTGAACTTCATTGATCATATTGTTGGCAACCAACCTGACAATGAAATGACAAGTATTACAGAATGGTAAGAAAGTTACCAAAATCATTTCAAATTATTGTTTTTCTTTTTATCAAGAGCTTGTAAAATATGTGGGTATTACCTCCAATATTTCTGTGACTGTCAGTCACCATCATTAGGGAGTAAATGACTAGGGGCATTTCACCTGGAATGAAAATCCAGGTCAATTGCCCCTAATCACTGGCCTTGTGTTGTAACTGTTACATCCTCCCCCCGGGGCTCCTCTGCATCCCTCTGGAGCACAGTGAGGTAGATAGCTGGTAGATTATACCCCCCTCTGTCTGATCAGGTCTGGTTGTTTGGTCCTGATGTGTACAGCTTTTTTCTTTGGAATGTCCAGTTTTCCCTGTCTATCACTTTCAGGCTGTCAAAGTCTATGTGGTGACCTGGATGTTTGCAGGTATGTTCTCCAAGGGCTGATTTCCAGTTGTTTTTGGCCACTGAGTCTTTGTGTTCTTTCATTCTTGTGGCTAATGGTCTTCCTGTCTCACCAATGTATTCTCCTTGGCAGGTTCCACATTTGACTGAATATATCACACCACATTGCTCTCCTTGGGTTAGAGGATCCTTGGGTTTTATTAGTTCTGGTCTCAGCGTCCACCCTCGTTTATGGTGGAGTTTGATGTTATATTTTTTGTAAATCCGGCTAAGTTACAACACAAGGTCAGTGATTAGGGGCAATTGACCTGGATTTTTAAAATTGTGTTAACTAAGGTTTATATAAAAGAAAGGAAAAGATGATGATTTATGTATAAAAATATATTTATCTACCATTAGGTATGAAAAGACCCTGATGTTTCACAGATTCTGGTCTGTAGATGACAAGCAGCTTTTTACAGAGTATTCTGCTCTGCGCTCTATTGTGGTGAGCAACTATGAGGAGACCATTAAGATGCCTATTAATGAGCCAGCCCCAGGAAAAAGGAAGAGTCAGATTCAGGTTAGTTATCTAGGTTGTCAGTTTTATTTGTTTCTTTCCTATGCAGAATTATTGGCACCGATAGTTTATCACCACCGCTATAAATATATATCATATTCTAACTGTTACACATAATTTTGCAGACATTAAGATAATTAGGACTATGGAAATTATGAAGATGAATTGACTTCTTGTGGCAGATTTCAGAACATTTAAAATTAATTCCAAACGCCTTAAGGATTTTGATTAATGCAAAATATATGGATGATTTTGGGATGATTTCAGGAGTATGTGGACTACTATGGGAGTGCCGGGGTCCAGCACATTGCTCTAAATACCAGTGACATCATCTCAGCTGTAAGTAAGGATTTAGAGATAAGAAAAAAAATCAAAAACTGCACATGCCATGTTCTGGTATCAGTGTTTTTTTTATCCTAGATAACATTTGAAAAAGATGTCCATTAGAGAAAAAATTCTTGCAATCGTTGTTTACATGGTTTACAGGGGGGTTTGTGTAGTACAGGTCATGATGCATCACTAGATTGTTTTGAGAATTACTGTAACATGAATCAGTTTTGCTCAAGTTGAGTAAGCTATGACCTTGTCATGCCAGGTTTTTTTTAGTATTATGGACAAGATCCATTTATGTCGCATACCAGGTCTGTTTTATTTTAATCATGTGCAGCGACTCATTTTCTAACAGGTCACAAATTTGCGAGCAAGGGGCCAGGTTTTCCTTGACATCCCTAAGACGTATTACACCAACTTGAGAAATAAACTTAAAAAGTCAAAGGTCAAAGTCAAAGAAGATCTAGACACTGTGAGAAACAACTTTTGTTTTTTTTTTGTTTTTTTTTAGATATTTCATACAATTTTTATTTATAGAAGAAAAGACAGTAATGATATAGCAATAACGAAGAAATTTTTAATAGATCGTAAAAAATATGTATCGAAATTTTAAATGGGGTGGAGTGCACATCACTTTATTCACAATACAGCACAAAATAAAGCATAAATAGAGATAATACTTGGCAAATAAGTTTGATCATAATGACCTTAAGTTTGTGACTTCATGCCCAAACCAAGAGTGTGCAGTATTTACTTATAACAACTAATAATAACATGATTACATAATGACTATGGAATCTTAATGCATTGTAATTATTATGCTTCAGCTGGAAAAGCTCAAGATTTTAGTTGACTATGATGATGATGGGTACCTGCTGCAGATATTCACCAAGAATGTTCAGGATAGACCCACGGTTTTCTTGGAGGTTATTCAAAGAAATAATCATCAGGTAATCAAGTCAGTTTTTTTAGTCTGGCTTGTGATACTTATCGGTCCAGTTGAATAGCTGGAAAGTTTCAGTTCCCTTAGCAAATCTCATGAAATATCAGATTGTAAAAAATTAAATCTTCCTGAAGTCATAACCATTAGCAATTAAAAAGGTTTTATTATGTTCGAGAACAAAGCGAATAAAATAGTCTATATATTTTTTCTTTGGTAGGGTTTTGGAGCTGGCAACTTCAAGTCACTGTTTGAGGCCATTGAAGCTGATCAGGCTGAGAGAGGAAATCTTTGAAGATCAATTTATAATCAGATTCAAGGGACCAATGGATTCAAGTGGACCAACATTATTGTTAGAGATTTTGATCATAATGTAGACTTTATTTTAGATTGCCAATAATGCACATTCCTATTCGAAAACATTCTTTCTAATATCATAGGGATATATACCCCCGAGTGGGCCTTAGGTAATGTTATGTTTTAAGGCCATTATGTATGTATTGAGCAATTATGTGCCTTTGGCATATTTAAAGGGAGTTACAAAGGTTGCATCATTAACTGAGTCACTCATTTTGGTGTTCAAAACACATATTATGATATTAATTTTGTGTAAAATTGGGCCAAAAAGGGTTAGGTCAGAGGCTAGTAAGTGTAATTTATGAGGCAGCTTATTTTTAACCTGAAATTGTCAAACTTTTTACTTTCAAAGTGCTTTTCATTTTAAAATGTTCATTTTATGAGACGAAAACATGACACTCAGACCATATGAACCTTGAAGTTGAATCTCATATTTTTCTTGTTTTTAAATTTGAATTGTATTTTATCTCACCTTGTTATTGCACAAGGCATTGCATTTTATTGAGTGCATATCATTATTTCTGTCAAGTTGCACAATTATGCTTTAGAAGAATTAGATCTGGTGAATGTGGCATTATAAACTGCTTTGCAGGGTTATAGTTGTTATGTTTAAATGATTTTTGGATTTTGAACTTTTTGGTAGAATTTTATTAAAGTATGATATTGCACACATCTGAGCTAGCACAAAAGAAACATATTGTTAGTTTACTATAACATTTATCATAGAACGGTTGTGCGACTGTCTTCCAAGTCTCTAAACTCCAACTGTTTTCAAATTGCAGACTGACAATTCACAATGGCAGCTTTTTGAAATTGATAATAAAACGGTGTTGTTTGAATGTTGAATTGTTTTACCTTACACTTTGTTCTCCATTATACAACTACCTTGTTTCACAAAAGTCATAATGATGAATATTTCAAGAATAAAGTGCATAATCAGGCCTAACCAACTACCAGACTCGGCACCTAAGAATCCTGAATTAACCCGTATATCGTACCACACTACCCGTTTTCAAGGTGTGTGTCAGATCGCATTTCGGAGTATCATACCCCAGAACATATTTTGTAGGATGACCAAGGGCTCATCCACGCTCGGCTGTCACCTTGATTGGATAGTAAACGATTGTCGTAAAATCGCTATATGATTTTAAAACCGGGTGCATAAATTTGAAAACCACCTAGAACAACCTTAGACTGCCACATTAATCTCATACAATGCAAAAAAGCCCTATCAAAAGTGGTTAAAGCATTCAAACCGAATGTCGTTAAGTCCCCATATGCCCTCATAGAGACAATAAAATAGAGTACTCTAAAGTAAGAAATGTGATCTGACACACACCTTGAAACTGGGTAGTGTGGTCTGATATACCGGTTAATTCAGGATCCTTATGTGCCGAGTCTGGTAGTTGGGTAGGCCTGATAATTAAACTTTCTTTTTCACAACTGTTTCAAAGATATGTGCAAAGATTGTACAAAGGTTAATTTTTTTTCCATTATAATTCCATTGTAAACAACCAATTATGATGAACCATGTTTCTGTTCACATGATGTACAAATACGTAAATTAGATATCTATACATGTATCATCAAAATAAGTCTGAAGTTTTTTTTTATAACTATGTTCCAACTGTCCATGGTCTTTCTTTTGCTCTTTGTTGTCCTAAACTTTGTAATGCCTTCTTAGGTGGAACCAAGTGGTCATTTATACCAGCACGTTTTTTACGTTTCATGTTGGCCATGTAACCATCTTCATCTTGTTGATCCTGTTCAAAGTTTAATAACTCAAAATTACCAGTCTGATTATATCTGCCAGCATTAAACTGATTTTGATGACCAGCTACTGGTTGGGAAATGTTGTGAACATTATCTCTCTCATGATAAAACCTGCATTTATCACCAAAATGACATTTTCCTTTCAGAAATTTGTAACAAACATTTCTGTTTGAGGTGCTACTTTGAGCTTGCTCCTCAGTCTCTGTCATTTTAACATGCTTCTCAAGGACTGACAGTTTAGCTTGTCTAGCTTTTTCAAATGGGTTGGCAAAAACGGAGTTCTCTAAACCCTTCCCTCCTTGCTCTTTTTCCACATTTAATGACGGTGCTGGCAGTTTCATGGCATTACCAAATGGATTTGGGAGGGATTTGTCTCGAGGTTGCTCCTTTAAATCACCAAGCACTCTTTGTTTGTTATTAACATCTTCACCAGAAGAACTGTCATCTGACTGATCATGAAGTCCCAGAAGATTTCCACCATAAGAACTCTTTTCAGTTATTTGACTTGGCTTTGGTCCAGACCTGTTGAAAAAAAAAAAAAACAATTATTACTACACGACAAGAAATTGTTTAAAAAATATTCTAATGTAAAGGAACCATACCATTCTTAACTAGATTATTAAAAAAATATGGGAACTAACTCATGAGTCAGCACAGACAATTATTACGCCTTTGTCAGTGTACTTAAAAATGTCAGATAACACTTTAGACACCTCAACAAAGGTCCTCGTGTGCAAACCTGGAGATTCACGTTTCAGTAATCTCCCCTTTCAACAAAAGATAACAAATGAGAGGCCCTTTTGTAGGTATATCAGAAAAATTTTCAAACTTATCAGAAAATTATAATACTTATATCATGTGAAAGGTTATGCAAAAACCGGATGAAATCACTTGGAATTTTTTAAATATTCCTACAAGCAACAAAGATATTGAAGTTTTTTAACTGCAAAAATTCACCAAAAGTGTCCACACTCTTCAGCTTAAAACCTGTCACTACTGACCAGCGGTGATCACTCAGTTGTAGCTGCAGCTCAAATTGCTTGTAACCAATTAGGGCAATTATGGCTGTATGTTAATCTAATGACCCGGAAACAAACCCAAATTGGCGACCGCACAAGCACATGGCTGGGATGGCTTCCATGCAGATCATGTACTATAAATATTGCGCATCAAATAAACTATACTTCGCATGGTTTAATTTTCATGATTTTTCTACATAATATTGCAAATCTCAGAAACTTTATTCATTATTAATTTCAAAAAATTGCAACCAGTACTTAACTGACATTTTTGAGCACTTTGTTGAGGCAAAACTTCAAACGCCCTGGGCAAATCACGTGATCGGATTTTACTCTTTGATTTACAGCTTATTTAGTTAATGGCTTGTATAAGTTTTTTTATGCGGCGCTACAAGAGAGATTTAAAAAAAGGGGTGCCATAGGCGAGCTGTCAGCAGGCCGATATCAGTTTTACACTTCACTGCCCCTGGATAGTTACCACTGTAGCGCCCCTAGCGGATTGTGATATACCTACCTATTGTATATTTTATCTGAAGCAATTCAAAATTCATTATCCCTAGCCTCTCCTCCTCAATTTTTGCACAATTGTGTTGGATGCAAAGGAGTTGGACTGAAGTAAGCCCAAGCACCAATTTATATAAATCATATAGTTGTGCCACAAATGCTGCTCATGTCGATATGTGTGAATGACGTGTGCTGGCCTTTTTCTTTTCTTTCATTTTTTTTAGTGTGGGGCCTTACTCTGTCGAAGTATGAAGTAGAGCAAGACCTTGCAGTTGCAGTAGTAGACTTATATACATATTACACTGTCTTACTCTCACTCAGCCAGTGTCTAAGTTTGCCCTAGGCTAAGGCTTCATACTGTAAGTGCAGTATAGTGCTGTGCGGTCAGGCAGATTTATGATCTTATAAGCATTTTGGTATCGAATAATTTGCAGAATGGGATTCTGAAAGTTCAGGTATTGAAATATGACGACTTACTCGGAAAGTGCATGATTCTTTGGGTCGTATTCCTCGTCTGAATCTGAGGCCGAGCCATAGTCAGCTACCAAGGAAGTCATGTTATGCGTTTACGGGTTGAATGCATACTCTTTTCACTGATTGGTCAAAGAAAATCATGACTTACCCTTAGTTATTATTATTATTATTATTTACGCTAATAAAACTTCCCACCTATACCAAATATTTTCATTTGATCGACATGTGGTAACATCAAATAGATCTGAAATATATGAAGCCGAAGCTTATGTTATTTTGTTTCAAAAGAATAGGAACAGAGCTTTCATTGATTTAGAAAATTTGGGAAACTTTGTGCGTCCATCACGTTTACGCCCTACTTACAAATTTGATCGTTGGAACAAGTCACCACAAGTATTAACTGTTCTTTGCTGTCTGTCTGGATTTTTTTAAAAATACAAAATCAACATAAATTGTTCTGTACAGAGTGAAGTGAACCATCTTCCGTGTATTCCCTACATTGTATACGGTCCGTTCAATATTTTTAAATATAAAATATTTGACAAAGATGAAAGAATTCGATTATTTGAAGAAGTGTAAGGTCAGTCGTTTCAACATTTCCTCGTTATTTTTTCATTTAATTTTTGACTGAAACAACAAAGATCTAGTCACGGTTTAAACTGAGAATAAAATGATAGTGCGGTACGTCATGCATAAATCCGGTCATCCAATGATCAGCTGACGGAAGTAAGAGGTCGCACCTGCAGACGGTACCCGTAAGGGGTTTCAAAATATTTTTTCTTTCTAAAAGTAAAAACTTTGACTACAGTACTGTGTAATTAATTATTTTGTTTTAAGAATGATTGAATAAAACTTTTCACTCATAAAGTTTGCTATTCCATAGAGGATATATAATTTATAATACTATTCGAAAACGAGCTTGGTCTGATCTCCTTGGAATTCCAGGGGCATGAAATCACTTACAAGTTTGACAGCGAATCGAACAGAATGTCAGGGAAAGTGAGACAGAGGGCGTCTGCTAACACAGCAGATTCAGCCACTGTCTCTGTAAATGAAAGAATTCTGAAAGAATGTCACACTCTGTATACCGATCCAGACACTGGTGAGTTAACATTTTACATAAACTCTCGCTTATAATGATAGTTTTTCCATTTATTTCAGCGACCGGCTTCTGGACAAACTATATCCTAAGTTATGCAATTTTTTCGTCTGGCCCAGACAGGCAGGGTGTTCCCCGCAAATACAAAGACTCTTTGCACTTTTATGCAATTCTGAAAAGGCAACAATTAGTCTTTTTATTAAGATTTTCATCATTTGCATTTACAAGTTAGTTTCAAAAAAAAAGTTGTCGAAGTTGCTAGCCGTGAGGTCACCCCATCCTGTGTCAATTTGCTGGATCATGCATCACGTTCGTGATCAAAATTAACAGACGTCATCATAAGTAATTTTGATTAGTGGTCGATTTCCGTCTTTGATGAGATGATAGCAGTAGGCTCTTTTAGGAATGTGAGATTAGTAATATTTTTTTCGGATTGGTAGCGAATTGACCATCGTTTTGTGATGCAATCTAACCTGGCATTTCATTTCCCTCGCTGCAAAATGTAATGTTTGTTTAATGACCTGGTACATTTAGCTGTGGGACCCTGTGAGGTGTGATTGTGAAAATTGATGATAAGAGAGAAAATTAATAATCTAAGCATAGTTGGTCATCTCTTTTGTGAGGTGACCAAGCAATAACAGTATTGAATGTCATTGATTACCAGTCGAAGGAGTTTAAGAGCTTTAAAAAACTGGGACAGGTGATTGACATTTAAAAAATTGAGGTATAGAAATTGTAGCTTCTGTGTACTTGCTTTAACACTTTTATTGCATTTTCTCTAATTTATGAATTGAAGAAGGTGTGGCTCTTTTGATTCTCTTTATCATGAAACAGTGGTACCATAAATGATACATGAAGGTGCATTGTGGGTGTGGCTTCTTATAAATTATGATGCTGATTACAATTTTAGGGCATTTCATGAGTTACTTTAGAAATAAAAATGAAATAAAAATGAAAAATATGAATTGGATAACAATCTATTGCTACATTGAGTACAAACATAATAGATGGGGAATAACCAAGAGAACTTGTTCCTGGAAGGAATTGTAGATAAGTGATTATTTTATCAGGTAATGCAAGTTTTGATTAATTTAAAGATAAAATTATGACATGCTTGTACAATTATCCCAATCAGCACACTGACGGTTCCAATCAGGAACACCTTTGATTCGACTTCTTCAGCATGTGCATTTCCTTGGCTCAGTCTATACATTTCAGGTCTTAGTCATTACTAACATTAGCATTTCTCTCAGACATTCAATATGACCTACACCCTGCTTTGCCAGGAAACCAAGTTGACAAAATAAACATTCCATTATTGGATGAAAAGGAAGGAAGAATAAAACAAAGAGATACTGTACATGTCCTTATTTATGAAATGTTTAACTGTTTACCTAATTATTTGGAAGAATCCCTTGAATTTCCGTGATAAATCATTATATTATTGAAACTTTGATCAATCCTCTAGCTGTCGCCTTTTCTGCTTTCATTTTGCCTCATACCTCATTTACTTCTTTAACAAGAAGAAATACATAATTTGGTAGATGTTATCTTTGGCTACATTATCATACATCACCACATCCTTTTTTCTATCTTTATCCAACAGAAGGCCAGACAGACACCTGCAGTGAGTCAGTTCATTCATAAACCAAGGGAGAGAATGATTGGACTGTCATGGCCAAATATAAAACAGTAGCATAACGCTATAAGATAAAATATGTGTAAAAACCACCTAGGGTAAAAGTTCAGACAGTGCAGGTGTGGCTGTGTAGAGCTGTGAACTTTCAACAAAGCCAGACATTATAATTACCCCACAGTTTACTCTAAAGCACAGCCAGTGAGTCTTGTGCTGGTGTTAGTAGCTGTGCAGACATGGCCTATTCCCACTCTCCACACCAGTCATTCTCTAACCTCAGCAAAATCAATAATTGTGTCTGTCTGGAAATGGCAAGGAATGGAAGTGATGCAGAACTGGCTGCTGCCAAGTAGTTCATTTTCTCAGAAAAAAATGCCTTGGTTGTTATCAAGGGTGCAGTAAACATACATGGGTATGATGGCTTGTAAATTATTTTGTTGTAAATTGGCATCTGGTGATATATGAATATTTATTTGATATTGTTATCTGCAAGTGTTGAATACTGTATTTCATAGAATAATTTTCTTTTATCTGTGAATATTTCACACAACTGAAATATATTTATAAATATTGGAATATGTAGAACTTATATTTGATGCTAGTGATGAACTCATTTGCAATTTTCTTCAGGTTTGGTGAATATTGCAAAAAATTTAGGACTGACTCTGTTGGCACCCAGGAAAAAAATCACCGTCCTTTTAATTGGGAACCACTCTGCAGGAAAGAGCTCATTTATTAATTGGTAAGTAATTGACACTCTTGATGGGCTTGCTATATTATTTGTAAGTGGATGGAAATTGATAACTTGCCTGCAGTAATTAATTTCATTAAAGTGGCTCATGTTCTACTTTTTATTTTGGTAATAAAACAAAACCAGCTATTAGAAGAGTTTGCATTCCTGAGAAATATGTCAAACTATTGTTTATTTTGCGAGTTACAATATTATTGATCATCTCAATAAGATGTTCAAAAGCAAAAACAAATTTGCCAAATAGATTTGTCTGATATGTATTTAGATGCATAATTCACATTTTTTACCATCTAAGTATTTCTGCTGCACATGTCTAGACAGTGATCCTCTGGAGAATTTATGAAAGAATGAATGAATGATGATGATTCCAGTATTTAATATTTTCACACAACATATTAACATGTTGTGTGAGGAAATGAGTTGAAAATGTTGTACCCTCTTCAGGTGTTCCTCTTCATTTTAATAGAAAATACCTGCTCAAACCAGCTGATTTGTGACCTCCTTTTCACCTTTTGTTCCCATGTTTGACTCACTGCATAAGGACCTGTATGCATAATACTATTGACTAACTACTTATTATGCATATATTCAGCTAGCAGTTATATTCATATGTAATGATCAGTTAGCTAGGTTAATTAACCTCCTGTGCAATATGGAAGGGTGCCTAAAAAGAAGGCAGCTTTTTTGAAGAGGTTCTATTAATCATTTTGTTTAAGTAACACAGAATATTTTTCCAGGACTGCATTCCTTAATTTATATGGCTATACTGGGCAGAGATGCTGTCTCTATGGTTATCAGCTATTTTTAGCTCTGTCTGGATCCATGTTGTATACTCAGTCAAAACCATGATAAAAGGTACTCAACACAGCAAGATTTAGACTATCATTTGGAAGATTTCATTAGGAAATACCAAAAAGTCAAAATTAGAAGTGATTTATTATTTTTAATAAATTTTTTTGATGACATTAATTTTTTTGTTTGTTTAGAGCATCAGTTATATAAGAAAGTTATAATATTTCACTATCCCAAGCAGGACAGATGAAGAAGTCAGTCTAATTGAAAAGTACAAATGATGAAGAGAGTCAGGAGATTATTTATATTATATAAAGTTATGGGAATTTGTACTATGATCCGATACTTGCAACACTGCCTAGCCTAAAGAATATCATATAAGCTAAAGAATGATTGAAAGCAGCTAGATGAATTTGCAGTCTATTCACATGGGACTGTCTATGAGACTTTGTGCAATTGTCCTGCTGAACTTTGTAAGACTGTGTCCTTTTTTTTCTGCACTGAATGACCTATTGAAAGTGGTGAGTATAACAAGATTAGTGAAGGGCGTGTGAGCATTTCTTGTGAAATACTGCGTCATGTCTATTTTGTTGGGACATGACTGATGTTGGGACATGACTGATGAATTTAGAACTGTCCTTGGATTACATCTTAATGTGGGAAACCCTTGAAAAAATAATGTATTTTGTCTACTGAAAATGAATTTTATTTGCTTAAATCTTTTATGAAATATTTGATTTAGTATTGTTGAGTAAAAACCAGCTTCTTTAAAGATTATTCCTGTTAAAAATAAATTATTTAAATCTAAAGTAGCCTGTTATTATGTTTAATAATTTCTAAGACCTGAGGGAAAATAATTGCGAATGAAAATAGCAGGTGTCGGTTGTTCTGGAGTGGGCACAGAAGAATTTGACCTTCAACCTGGTCAGTAGACAGACATTACATAACTCTTGACAAACACTGTTATGTGTGGACTGTGCTTTCCCTGTGCATGCAAATGCATTTCCAAAATGCAGATCCCCTCCAAAATAACCAGTGCAAATTTGCCTGGTTCAAACAATTTTGGAATTTATTTTTTTAAAGAGGGTCTTTTTTGTGCATCAAGACTACACGTTGTCATGGTCAAACTGTATACATTGATAACACTGATTATGCACACAATAAGCAATGTAATAGTAGTTGGTGTAAGAATTGATTGAAAAGAGGGTTCAACAGAGCAAAAAGTGAGAAGTTTACAAACATACAGAACTAAATATAGAAGATGAAAAAATGGAGCACTAGGGCAACTTTGTGGAATGTCCAAAGGTCAGACGTAAAGGTAGTAGTGCAAGTCATGGCCTTGTGATGTTAGGAATTCTAGTACATGCATACTCCTATGCTAGAGCTAAAGGTTATGTAACTCTCAAAGGTAGCCTCTGATGTGTTTTTGTGCTGGCCTTGGTGGAAACCAATCATCAGTATTAAACAGTCACCATACAATATTGAAGCGAAAATTAAAATGCCTCACGATGGGGATCATATTTCATGAATGGAGTGTGCTACATTGTATTCATGTTTGACAGAAGAGAGATGTCTGTTGCATATCTCTTCTCCCTCACTGTTGTGAAATATAGCTTGTCTGTCTGGCTGATTGTTTCTGTGCTGATAGTAGAGTAGCTTCACATGCTGTGCCCAACCCACAGGTGATGCCTGATGGATGAGGAAGGTGAGGGTAAAAGACAGATCACTCAGACTGGCACTGGGCTACAAATTACGAGAACATTATGTCAAGAAGTTGCATTGCCCCATTGACATTTCATTGATTTTTTGCTTTTGCTCAAGAATAAAAAAGTGGTTTATAAATAAGGTATTCATCAGTATTTTTCATTTCAACTCTATGTTTATATTGCTGGTGTGCATTTTTTTCTTTGAGATTGTTGGTTTTTCCAAGTTAACAAAGCTTATTGATGTTTTAAAAAGTTTCTTATATTCATATTTTTTTTCAATAATCATCGTAGAATTTTATTTCAGTTCTCAATTTTTATATATCCCCCCCTCATGCCTTAATGCAATAAATGATTAGCAACAGGACTCATGGACTTCCGCAAGTACTACATATTGATTAATTGTTAAGATGTAATGAATTGATTCAATGAGCATGTGATAGTAGTATTCTGTTCTTACCATATATTCAGGGCTGGTGTAGACTGTCCATTAGTTTAATAGAACAATTACCTGAGCACAGCATTGAAGGATCAAGTGGATCAAATCCCTGTCTGCTCGTGTAAATTCTACTGATTATCATTTTGACACTTTATGAAAAGGGTAAAGATCAGTGAAAATAAATCGGTCTGTCTGGGAAAAAAACGTAGTATAATAAAATATTCAGTTCACATACAAAATAACAATTTACTGTTGGTTTTGCAGCATTTAAATTTGTACCCCAACCCAACCACCCCCAAAAAATCCTGTGCTTATATCTTTAAAATTGTACTCCATTTGTTATTTACTGTCTTTGTCATACTAATTAGTGCAGACATTCACAGAAGCCTTACAATTTTCTATACATATAGCATGAACATAGTTATAAAACATTGATCCGTGATCTGCAGACAGCAGCATAACAGAATGTTCATGGTATGCACAAGGTGTAAAGTGTCGGTTAGCAGTGAAAGCAGAAGTTGTGTTTCCAGTTACTTTGAATGCTTAATTAAGAAGGGACTAACTCTGCGGGGCCATGTTATTAATAGTTTTATCCTCAGGAAGCTGAATAAAAACCCCATTTTTGCCCCCAACCTCCACCATGTTATTAGATTGGCTTATATGTAATTGTTATTAATTAAAATTGAACTCTCTGCTGAGGTAGCATGTACAAAACTTTTGCTGTTACAATATGACTGTGAACATAGTCCCAGGGTGAGTTCTGAAAGGAGGGAAGTATGTCTGTATTTGTGGAGGCCTGTAGTTTTATAAGGTACTTTCTCTCAAGTTTCACCAGTGGCATTCATTTCTCTACAGCATTTGATGCCATTTAATTGAGTTGAGTAGCCTTGGTATTCAATATTGTGGTGTCTTTTACCAGGTATGTGGAGGAGCATGTGCAGCGGACAGGGGTGGCTATTGAGACACAGGGCTTCACCTTTGTCACTAGTGGGAAGAAGAGGGAATCTCTCACGGTAAATATTTATTATCAGTATGACAATTTGAAACTAACAAGATGTTTTAGATTGGTTTTGCCATATATTTAGTCCTTCAAAACGTGCTTTCACAAGTTTTATTGAAAACATTTTAGTCTTAATAGATTTTACTTAAATATTTGGTTGATGTGTGTTTCAAGTTCAGGTAATCCTATCTGTTGCCACCATTTCATATCAGCAGATATATATATATATCTGTATGTTTGTTCATGTATTCATGAAAAGGTTGCAAGTATTCTTATTTGAATATTGAAGTGCATTTTAGCCATTCAGTTAAGAATATTAATTGGAAGAAAATTGATATTCATAAGTAGATAGTCCATATGTGTTAATTGTTCTTTACATTTTTTCAGGGCAATGCAACCCTCCATCTCTATCCCCATTTCGAGCCATTGCGAGATATTGAAGGTAGGCATGTTAGGAAATTAGAATGAGAAAATCTTAGCTATACCCAGCTGGCTATAAAACGGAGTGATCACCAGCATTTTTTTTCAAATGCCCCCATTTATATTAGGTATAAATCTGTAACTTTCGGAAGATAGTTTTTGTACTTATTATATGTTTGAGGACAGATCAGTGACTAACACTTGCTAGGGATAAGGACAGGTTCAAAGCCTTGCCCAGACTTTGCCATGTTCAAAGTATTGTCCACAGTTCTGTTGTTTTCTTAGCTGTTAATGTTGCTGATTTGAATATCATGTATTTTCCATATTGGAAATGTTATGCCTCTTTATAAACTAAAAGGTTAGAAAAATATAAGTTTATTTTCATAAAAAAGAACTTTGTAATTAAACCACTGAAAACCTATGTTTAGTTATCACTAGTCTAGTTAATCCATCTTTAACCTTAATTATTTTTTTGTGTTATTGCATCTCCAAAACCTAAGAAAATATTGGAATAGGAATCGCATAGTCATCCCAGGTTTTCTTCAAGAGGGATATTGTTGAGTGTTTTGCCCAGGCGGCTCCTCATAAGGCAGTCTTTCTGTGAAGTGTAAAGCTGCCTGGTGAAGAGCTGTCTGGTCAGAAACTAGACCAGGAAATGGCCCAACTGCATAGGCACAGTGATAGATGCACATAACATATGCTAAGAAACAGAACTCAACAGCCTTGGAGATATGGAGAAATTAAAACTAAGAAAAGAAAATTTATAAAGGTGGACATATTCAATCTTACAGGCATCCATATGCAGATAATGCAAACTTTTTTAATGTATAAGCAAGAGAAATGAACACTTATTAAGTGGAGATTGGCTCAAAATACTGTAGTGTAAATCAACTCTTTGGATTTTTTTTTAAGCAAGTATACTTTGAGGATGCTCAAACACATAACAGAGCAAACTGACTTTATGAAAAAATACATGAAATTTCCAAGGTTAAACTTACACTTATGCTAAAATTTTGTTAAGCTAGAAAACTAAAATTTTAGCCAAATGTTTGTTATAATTAGAAGGTGATAGTTAGGCAACATTTTAGTAATTTCACCCACCAAAGAAAAAAGTATACACTTGTATGAAATTAGCATGTATATGCTGTGCAATTTCAGTGCCACAGGCCTATAAATATATATACATATGCATGATTGTCATATGGTATTGGGGCATTTGAGTGGAAATAAGCATGAATTATGTATAAAACTATGGTCTATACCACAGCTCAGTGCTGATATCCTTAGGTGAACAGCTGGGCAAGATAAAAAGGGCTTTAGTACTAAGTGCTGATATCCAAGTAGTAGAGCTATAAGAGGAAAGTTATATAAAAAGTATTTGTCCTAACAAGGTCATGGTGTCTAGATTGTTTTAATCAATTTGCTTTGATGGTATCATAGGGACATGACCTTAAGGAAGGACATAGATACTGTTTTATAAATGAGGACACTGGATTTTGCTCTGCTAGAATTTGGTAGTTGCCGCAGGTTAATTGAAATGTCAAAACTCTACTTTATATTTATTGGTTGATTTTATGCCAGTTTATTCTTGATTTGACTCTCTTTTGGTCAATTTCCATCTGATTTGCTGAAATGATTTTCATATAAGTGTCAGCATTCTGTTTTTTGTTTTGTTTTAGATTATATATATCTTACCTGATAAGAATTTGGTACATGGAAAAAAGTCAAACTGTTGAATAAGAAAACTTGTAAACTTGTTACATGCGTAGATATTTTATAACAATATATGAGATCATATGGAAGCTTAAATAGGAAATGAAAAGTTCATTTTTAGATAATTTTGAAACCATTTAGGATACAGTTAGGAATTAGTTTTTGAAAAAGAAATGATTAATATATACATTTATGTTTAAAATTCAATCAATTGATAGTTAAACTGATGGAATATGACTGTAAGGTGATTTATTTCATTAAAAAGGAATATTCAGAATATTAAAAATGTATTTCATAGTTTAAAAAATACTATGTTTTATTTCACAGTTGTCATCTTCTGAGAACCATATACACTTGGAAATCACCTAGTTAACCAGGTTTAAGTAAAAAAAAAAAGACTATATATCAAGATTTTATCAGTTTGCCCTTGGATGTTAGTCCCACAGAAATTGAAGGACACCGAGATGAAGGCTCTTTGACAGTCATTTATCGCAGGCGTCGTCTTCCTGTTAACAGGGACAGGGGAGTTTTGTGGATGTACATGTCTGAGTTGAAAGTTATAGAAATGACACAAAGATTTATAAAATGAACAACAGAAGAGAAGATGTTTTGCAGAATGGGTTTTGAGTGGATGGCAAAATGGTGTCTCCAGTAGGTCTTCATTTGGAGGCTATCCCCTTCATCAAAGTGGGAGCTGCCAAGTGAAGGGCTGTCGGTTGGGCCAACAATCATAAACCAGGTGATACCGTGTACACACATAACGAGACCATGAACCATGATTTCAAAAAATTGTCTTCAGCATTTACAGTTTCTGGATTTGAGTAGATCATTATTATATTGGTATCAGATAAATATGTGACACTCACACAGGCAAAAGTGAAAGAATCTAAAGCCTGCCTTAACGGGTGATTAAAAATGTATGAAGCATTTAATTTCTGATACAACATTAGTCTTGTACAGATTTGTTTCATTAAAATAAATATATTTTGATAATGGTAGATTATTATAGATTTTATGGTATGCTGGCAACATTGATAATGGAATAAAGTTGAGACTTGATTATGACTGTATCTTTTCATTTGGTAACAAATGATTTAACCTGCGTTTCAGGTGTTACCGATTACTTGACGACGGAAATTTCAACATCAAAACAGAAGAAGTTCAGTTTGGTGACTTTTGTGGACACGCCAGGTCTTGTAGATGGTGACATGAAATATCCCTTTGATGTGAATCGAGCAATTTTGTGGCTAGGTAAGACTGTAGTCTCACTCTCAATGAACTAATCCCACTTCCTTGCATTCAGACTGCACAAAAGCCACAAGAATCAACCGCAGCAATTTCATATACCCTGTTCACACCACCATTTGCAAACTGCGGATTTTTTCAAATACAAATTTCTCAATGACTGATGGTATGAGTAGAAATGTACTTTGTGGGGACTTTTATGAAACTGAAAATAACAGCAGTAACGAATGTAACCAAGTTACTGTTGATAACAGCTAAGCAGAATTGAGTTGCACTTGCTGCACCATACCTTCTCTGGTCTTTTTATTTGGATCATATACATGTACAACACAAACATCTCAGCAACCTTATGATTCATTTTTGAACACTGCAAGGTATCACATAAAATAGACAGATAAGAGGAAACTGGCAGGTTTTTTTTTTTCATATTCTTATGGCCAATAATTACTTTGCCAATTTCCAGTTTAGGTGAGTTATCAGAATTGTCCTGAGAAATTTGCATCACTGGCATCATTTTGAGTTTAGAAAATATGACAAAGCCAGACAAGTCTGTAATTTAAGATGTTAACAGCAAGGTGGTCGCCAAAGGCTTGCTTGTTGCTCACGTGCAAAAATATAGACTGTATGATAACTGAGCTTATGTTCAAGCTGAGAAAAGTAACCATAATAGAATCACATTAAGCAAACATACACTTCTCTAAATGGTAATATGAAATAAAGTAACCAGTATTTTTAATTGTAAATCATAATATTGCATATTCTTTCTGTTTCATAATGTTTGTAGTCATACTCATTTAATGGGAGAATGACATTTTCAACTTCTTTAGCCAGATAGAATGTTCTACCAGTAATTTAATAAGTTGATGTGAGCCTAGAAATTAAATTTTGGCTAAAAGTCTGTCACACTTTATGTATTTTGAATATATACATTTCAGGCTTTATGTCCATTTTATTTGAAAATAAAAATAATACTTCATAAATTCTACCTAGTGAAAGGAAAAATATATTTGCAAAGTATATTGGTGGCTTAAGAGCCGAGAAATAGCTAAGAAAAACATATTCAGACTTCAGGTTCAGTTGCTTATTTATGTTTATCTTGTCCTTAGTAAAATTAAAACTTATTTAATTAATTAATTAATTATTTATTTATTTATTTTTGTAGAAAAGCAACCTAATCCATATTTGAACAGATATTTCAGCAAATTCGTTCCATCGTTGGCCTGTGAATATATGTCTTACTGGTGCAAAAAATTTCCAGCATTATTACTTAATCATATTACTAGTATTGGCCTAAGATACGAAACCACATTTAGCTCATAAATATTGGATTTCCATCCCTGTATACTAATAAGTTGACTCCCTGCCAAGCCAATGTGATTTTAGTGCAGCGAGTGCAATTGTTTGCCGATTCCCCAAACTTAAATACATTTGGCTGGTGAACTGTTAAAAAAAAACATGGAAAACTTATATCAGAATGGCACATGTATACACAAACACATTTATTTATTTATTTTATGTTTATTTATCTATATTTTAGAATATATAAAGCTATTTTATGAAATAAAAATAGTTTTCCTTGGACCAAGAATAGGAAAAAAGATTTTTCTAGTGTTTGTAAGTCTAAAAATGAAAAAAAAAACCAGCACATTTGGATCTGGTTGTGTCCTGTAACTAAATTGATCATTTATTCTTGTGTTTATATCTGTAGGACTGTCACAGTTCATAAAGTTAACTGTAATGAACTTAAAAAATGTTGAGACTCTTTTGTACTTTACTGCAAAGTACCCATTCATTATATTTCTAATCCTGAGGTCTAATCACCTGAGTGGCAGCTAAGTGTTGACTCACAGCGTTGTCTACAGACTGGCTGAATTGGGAGAAATTGATTTCAGGATTTGGTTTTGTGGATAAAATCTCACCGAGCAGACAGTGTAAAATGAGATGGCTTGCGGTGGCCATGGTTTAGGTATAAATGAAATGTAACCCTGAAAAATGGTCAAATCATCTTCCATGCTTTTAACAGATGGATTTTCCATTGAAACTAACAGGAAATTGTGATTTAACTTTAAGATTATCTGTAAACCATTTTGGGTTGATTGTGGCCAGTCTGTTTCCGTTTTATGGGTGATCGTAACAAAGAAGTACCCTTCTAGCTACACCTGTTACTTTTAGAAGTGAGTCTCACAGAAATTGAGGTCCACTGAGAGGAAGGCACTGTGACAGTTATTGCCTAAGTGTCCTGTAAACAGGGACAGGGGAGTGTGGGGATGTCTGAGCTGAAAGTTAATGGACTCCATGAATCATTACTTTGCACTAGCAGTTTTTCAGCATTTTAAACCCAAGTGTGATGGTCAGTGTCAGTTATATGCCTGCAGTTTCTTTCTTGGTTGAAAAAAAGGTGAAATTTCTCATTAGAAGTTTATGCAATTAAGATGCAAACAATCCAGCACATCCGCATACACACACACACACACACACACACACACACACACACACACACACCTTGCACAATTACACCATGATTCAAAGGTGGAATGCCTTGCATATCCAAATTGCAATGTAGAACAGAACTGGTAACCGTTTGGAGGATTAAGATAAAGAATTGTAAATGTTACAATTATGTAATTTAAAAGACACTCTCTTCCACTGTGGCCTACATGAATGGATACCAAATGTTACTCATCTTAGCCCAAAGGGTACTGCATGCACAAGGCCATATCACTTTTGTCTAGCCAGTGGACATAGTGCATACCACACAGTCTGGACGAGGGTCATGTTAACAACATTGATCAGTCCTGTCCCAAGGTTACCTGAGTAAAAAGGGGTTTGGGATCGTATTACATGAGTCTTTAGCACAAGGTTGATCAATCCAACACTTGGCTAATTACAAGTCAACTGTTAGAATTAATGTAGATTGCAAGTGATGAACCTGGAAAAATTCTTTCCATCAACTTTTTTTTTTGGCTATTTAAGTGAAAGATTAAATCATTGGTGTTTGTGTATTGATGTGTGTTTGTGTGTCTGCCTGCATATTTAATGTAAGATAAAGTGAACCACACCTGTCTTACTATGCAGAATCCCACCACCCTACTAGTACATGAAACACAAGTATCATGGCTGTGACAGTGGTAAAAAGGAAACCTGGATAACAGCAAGAACCCTGTGACTCATAGTCAACTTACAGGTTATTGAGTGACTTGATATTGAAAGGTCCAAAGTCCAGTGTCTTAGAATTGGTTCTTCCTCTATAGTTCTGAAATATATAGGTGTAATTCTTGAATATTGTGGTGATGTATGACAGGCATAGGGAATTGTTAAGTAATTGATGATGCAGGAGCTTGAAGGTGTTGTTTATCACTATAACCACTGTTGTCAATTGCAAACAGTGCAAATTAAGTGGGAAGTTACATATTATATGATACAATGATGATTTGATATAATAATATTATTATTATTCTGCCATGTATAATTATATACTAGTTATTATGTGCTGATTTACACTTGTGAAAAGTCACAGATATGATTACTTTCCAATAATAAAATATTTGAGCTGTCTTCCATTTCAAGGTTATTAAATTGACTGAGCCATCATGCAGTTGTATAAGCATAGAAAATAATATATATTTTTTTATCTCTTGGATCATGCTGTATATAAGAGATAGTCATATCAAAGCAGGGCTTCCCCCAGGACTGTAGTTGCGGGGGGGGGGGGGTTAATTTTCATAATATTAACCTTTTTATATCTCAATTTCTCCTCTTTTCTTAATTCTAAATAGTTCAGGCTGTGTATAATTTTGCATTTCAATTATTTAACTTTGTCATTTTCTTTACAAATTGATCAGTTGGTTGGGTATGCCACTCTTTATATTGGCTGTCTTCTGAACAGGGGTTTCCCCAGAATTTGGGGCACAGGGAATCCAAAATGTGAATCTGTAATTTGGTCGTCTATTCACAGGGAGTCCAACCCAAGCAAGCCCAACCACCCAACCATTCAATTACCAAAATTTTTGTAAGCTGTCCAGCCATCTTAGGCAATATAGGCTGTCTTTTGAGGTCAATGGCCATCCAAATGATGGCTGGACAGCTCTCTAGGGAAAGCTTTGCATTCAAGACTTATTTTATTTTCTCAGAAATTTGGAAAACAGCTTTTTTTAGTTAAAATTTGCATTTGATATCACATTTGGTAATTTATAAGACACAAGCGACACAAGATGAGCAAGAAAGAATTGATGTAGATCAGTAAAATATTGTTTGACTTTCAGGTGACATGGCAGATCTGATCTTTGTATTCTTTGATCCTATTGGTCAAGCCTTATGCAAGAGAACCCTGAATCTGGTTGAGAATCTAAGTGTAAAACATGCAGATCGAATGCGCTTCTACCTTAGCAAGGCAGACGAGGCAGGACATGAAAGTGACCGTCAAGTAAGAATTGTTACATGCTTGTTAACAGGTGGCAGCATAAGATGGACATATTTAAGATTATAAAGTCTTTCAATGTGATTGTCTTTTATTTCTTGAATATAAATTAATTATAATTTTTTTATTTTTATTATTTTTTTTTTGGGGGGGGGGGGAAGTTGGGTTATATTACTTCATTTTAAGGGTTAAATGAAATTATTAAACAGTTCACAAAATAAGGGCTCGGAACTCAAACAAATAGTTGAAAATTATGATTAATTAAAGAAGAATGATGACAGAAATTTAATATACTGTTTTACATCTGCTAAAGAGCATGCTTCAAACAGTTACTTTTTGCAATTAAGTGAGCATATAATGAATGTGTTGGGTCACACTTTAATCTTGTGAAATGAGTGAGTGCCCTTTTAAACTTTTTGATAGTTGTATAATGTTTATCAAGCTCATCTGGGACATTTTTTTTTCGAAATTTCTTTTTTGATAAATCATTTAAAGAATATTTTGTGTTGTTGTTGTTGTTATTATTATTATTATCTCGGAGAGTGATGATGCAGATTATTATTATTATTATTATTATTATTATTATTATTATTTCAGAGGGTGATGATGCAGATTGTCCAGGAGTTGTGTAAAAGACCAGGTCTGAATCGTACAGGGTTTGATATGCCCACAATATACATCCCCAATGCCAGTGGCAAGGTAAATAGCAATAAGCAGCAGGGGTGTGTCTGTTATGATCATGTGGGGATCACAGCGTACATTGGTCCGTGTTGACTCTGAGACATTTTATCATTGCTTCCTGATAACCTTTTGTTGACATTTGTGTGAGTCAGCGATATAGTCAGTATTACCTGTGTTCTGGATGTATTATATTATCTCTATATAAGATTAGGCTCTTCAGTACCCACTTCATTCCTTTATTTAATCTTTCTTAATCCCCTTAAAAGTGAAGGTCACAGTTTGAAGGTGGAGGGCATTGATTCAGTAAATAAAAAGTCAACTGCAAATCTTTTATTTTGACAAGTTTTTCAATTTCATTTTCCACCTTGTCTGTAACACATTATGAAATTGTATTCACATTTAAAACTGTTATTTTTCTATGCTGTTTAAAGAGCTTTAATGCCTGATTCAATATTACTTTGTCCCCCAGCCAAGCAGATGTGTGAACCAGATTGAGGAAGTTTGTAAAGATGTGGAGAAATCTATTAATCAAACCATCCAGAACACACTGAATAATCTGGAAAAGGACTGTGAACAGATAGCAGAAATTGTTGATCGCAAGTTGGATGAAGACGAGTAAGTTTGAACATTTTTAGTTATGGAGCAGGATTAAAATCATTAACTAACAATGTAATTTGAATTTTGTCATTGTTGTGATTGTAATTGTAGTGTGTTCCCAACTAACACACTGAAGTTTGATCTAGTGCTTTTCCTCAGCACTGCAAGTTTGAAATGTCTAGAATGAAGATAAGGGACTTTTTGAGATACTGTCTTTTTCACTTATTTAACCAAGTAAT